TTAGAATCATCATATACATTTGGCATTATGGATAGGAGCTCAAGGCCAGTTCAGCCATAACTCCGATCGAGAAATGAGGCGGAGAATAAAGAAACTTGGCTGACAGTACAGGGAATTGATTATGGAAGTGATTCGTGTACTAAAGGCCTGACCACGAGATTATTTAATCTAGTGTACTTTCCTGATTGAGATTAGGTTAGCAGTCTTTAGTTGGCTTATTATTAAACTGTATAATCCATTCGTTGGAGGTATGCTCGTAAAACTGTGGTACACACATTATTCTTTGCTTAAGGTAGATCGTAAAAAATAACATCTCGAACTCCACGGGCACGTTGATAGTGGTCGAAGGAACTTAGTGAATGAGAGACGAATTGCCAGGGACTCGATGGAGATAAGAGAGGTTGGATTTAATAGATTTCAGATTGAAAGAATAAAAAAATACTTATATAAGGGAGGATGAGAGCAGTTTAGCTGGGGTTTGATTAGGCCTCATTAAATCTTCCCCAAAGAACACATCTAAAGGTTTTGATAATAAAGGTGTGAAGTATAAGAGTATGGGATATGCAAACGTATCGGAGCAGCATGATAGATGTCACAAATGTTTTGAAGTAAGTTGGTCTGAGGGTGGCCTTCACTAATATCTGACGCGATGTAGCTTAGTGCGAAAACTGGCAAAACTAACTAACGATCCTGGGGAAACGCCTGGGAATGTACCAATGACACGGTCTGACACGGAGTCATCATGACTACTATGGCAGAGGACTCCGGACAAGGTGCGTTCATCGACGTCACTATAGCACTATGACAAAGTTGAAGACAGACAAGATACTTATATCATCTTACAACTTAACCAACCCATAAGGGCTATCTCTGTCCTTATTGGAACTCGAGTCACATGACTACAAGAGTAAAAATGCCTACAAAGGATCATCAGGTATTTTGTGAGTTAGATAAGTCCAAGAAGTATCTTTACCTTTAGCTTCAGACAGTTTTTCTCCACCGAGATGCAGCACTAAAATAATCTCACTTAAACGAAGACTACTGCGTAATTTTAATATAGAGCATACTACCTTTTAAAAAAACGAACCCTCTTGATACAGATTAAAAACTACATGAAGACTTATGATGCGATTTCTATTTATTCTATAAATATAAAAGATATTAAATCCAACATCAAATACCTGTATGCCGCAATTAGTTAGTATAAATGGAAGAAGCCTTCTCACACTCCTATTGCTGTTATAGGTTTTAGTCAAGTACCTATTAAAGCCTTGCATTGCTACAAATGGAGTATCACTTAATAGAAACTTAGTCACCCTTGATGGTGATGCGTTTTTTCCACATTGATAATTGATGTTTTGGTGATAGTTACCAAAAACTCGATGTGAACTCGGGATGAGAGTATTTACAAGGACATTACTCTTATTCAAAATTATTTGTGGTTTTCACACGTAAACCTTCAATATCCCTCTGACAGCATGCTGGTCTATCGATTCGTATCATCTAGGTTAAAAGCCGAATAGAAATAAATTCAACTTAATGGTTAATTGAAGCTATGAATATCAAGGTGGTGTGGCCTTTTATGCAGTCTTCCATTTCTAGTTAAAGTGTTTAGTGAAGATATTCGTAAGTCGATTCCACCGGAAGATTATGGTGGATTCCTCTTGACCCGCTGTCGATTGGCTTTACTGGAACATTTATGTTAACGCTGTTTCTCAGGTAATCTTATTCAATTCCACCGAATGGGTACTAAGCTTTCGTCCGTCATGACGAACATCATCATAGCAAGGTATCATCGTTTCAAGAAAATTTAAGCTAACGAGTCAAGAAAACGGGTTTTCTTTCACTAAACACTTTCACTCGAAATTGAAGTAAGCTCACCATGTATTAAAGTTCTTTGACCTTGTTTCTGCAACTTGGTCGTATTCTCAGGCCGACCTAGAGAAGCGCTTTCTTTCCGAAGCCCATGGTATCCATGATACTTTCCAGAGTCGGACTGTGGTCTTGGTACATTTCCAAATGTTTCGCCGGCATCGCCTGAACTTATCGTGACTACTATGGTAGAAACTTCCGGCTCGCATGACAACAAAACAAGTTGCAAAAATGAGACCTCTATACAACGGAATGAGTCTGCAACCAGATTAGTCTTCATACCTTCGATTGAATTTTTAGTTTTCTGATATTGCGTACAATATTCTTTATATACATGCATATGTATGTAGATACGTATGTATAGCTAAGAATGTGCACATAACTACGTTTCTTTA